GATGATGTGTGGGATGCGCCGGATGGCATGATTGGTCTGAGTGTGGATGACGGACCGAGTGGCGTGGTCGTGCAAGTCTCCTGCGGCTGCCCCGCCGTCGGCTGGATGGGGCATGGCGGAGATGGTGGAGAAGAGCGACGCGAGGGTCGTCGAGATTACAGCGAGTGATTTAAACATGGTCTAATTTGTAAACTGTGAGCTAACAAAGAGGAGATTGTTAGTGAGTTGGTTCCGAGCGCGAGAGATTAAAGAGCGGTACGATAAAAGAGAGGACGAGACGATAAGAGATGGATGTATCCTGATAGACAGGATACAAACTCTCTGCGACTCTGGTGGTTGGGGAGCAAGAGGGGGACGGAGAAGAGGGAGTGGACAAAGAAGGAAGGAGGGAGGAGGGCGAAAAGGGTTCGTCGCGTCGGGCGCATAGTTGACAGCGACAGCGAATGTCCAGCAATAATTGGCAAATAGGAAATACTAACCTTATGTAACGGTGTTATCGGTTTCGGATTGTTTCGTCGAGGTCCGCCTTGCGCTGCGCTGCTTGGCTCGGGGATACTGTGTTTCGTGCCGCTGCCTCGTGTCTGATTGGTCGATCAGACGAGTCTAGGAGAGGAGAGCAGAGACGAGACGAGAGAGAAGAGACACTCGAAGAGACGAGAGCAGACGAGACGAGGAGGAGAGGATAGAGAGGGTGAAGGAGAGGAGAGGGATAAGAGATGTATATATTTATATCTAGTGCTAGAGTGCTGGTGGCTGTGGTGACTGTCCCCCTCTGCCCGCCCTAGCTCGCTTTTCCGTCCTCGTCCAATATTCTTATCGGCAATGGCTCTGCACCCAACACGGTGTTACTCTTTACTCGGACTATTTTTACAATTATTGCGATAGTGTACAGTCTAGCTAGCATGAACAGGGTGGCCTCGAATGCTTCTGCTTCTGCTGGCCAACAGTGCCGCTTAGTGTCAGCACATTACGATAACCCATAATCCCCAACCACTCTTGGCCAGCGTTGAGGTGAAACAGCTGGCATCATGACGAGGTGGCTAATCGAGATGGATGCGGCCCGGAATGCCATGCGCCTTGCTTTTTCTGTTTTGAGCGCCAGTCGTCGAGCGACCACCATTCACTCCCGACCGCCCTCTTTTTCCGGAGCGCTATCCTCACCGCTCAGGCGCGTCGCAATATTTTCAAAGTTTTGTCAAATCCGAGACTTTTGGATTTTGGGGTACCTGTTTCCAATCATTGAACCCGAGTGTACTCCACATCGCACTCCCTCTTCTTCTCTCTTCTGTTCGTTGGCGACCCATCGTACGACCATCATTGGACAACACAATGGGCTGACAGCTAAGAACTCGCATTCAATGCTGGAAAACCCAAGAACGGAGGTAAGCCTCAGGGCTATTCACAAGAACCACCTCTTGCGACGGAGAGGAGTCTGCTTGGTGCTCCGTCACTCCAAGAAAATATCATGCGCAAATTCAGGGCAGAGACGATGCCGAGGCGTTTTCGACGTCAGGGAAGATCCGTCAACGCCAGACTTTGTGCTCGGCCGCCCACTTTATTTCTATTTTTTAGAGCTGCCGCATGGCTGTCGTTGTGGGATGCGTCGCATTGTGGGCGACGTCTCGACCCCAAGCTGACAGACTGGCTACCCGTCCGCTCTTCAGTCTGGGCTGTGGGCTCACCCTATGGTGACGCCCAAACCCGTACCGTTTACATCAAAGTGCATTACCACACATGTTTAGAAAAGGTATCGTCACGTTTAGAAAGGGTATC